TCCATTTATTTTTATTGGTTGGAGGCTAATTACTTTAAAATCTCTTTAAAAAAAAAAAATTCTGTTCTTTCCATCAAGTTTCCTCTCCTCTCTCTTCCTCCTACATTTCCCTCACCAGGGATTTGAAACTTCCTGCTGTTTTCAGCTCTGGATTTTAGCAAAGCAAAAGCCAGGCAGTTACTGACTCCACCCCCTGTAGAAAGCAATTTCAAGATCACCTAGGTTTATTTATTTACTTTTTTTGCTATCATTTTTCCCCCCACCTAGTTTTATTTAAACAAATTCCTTGTGGGAGGTTTTAACCCCACACTGTGAATAATAACAGGCTTTCTAAGCACTGTCTGCATCTTACTTGGCCTGTGTACTAAGTAGCACAGTCTTGTCTGACTCTTTGTGACTCTATGGACTGTAGCCCGCCAGGCTCCTCTGTCCATGGGGTTTCCCAGGCAAGAATACTGAGGTGGCTTGCCATTTCCTCCCCCAGGGATCTTCCTGATCCAGGGACTGAGCATGTGTCTCCTATGTCTCCTGCATTGGCAGGCAGGTTCTTTACCACTGAGCTGTCAGGGAACACTGCTTCTTACCTTATTTTGTCTTAAAAACAAGTCTAAGAGAAACATGTTATCATTACCCCATTTTAGAGATGAGAAAACTTTCCCAGTGCTTAAGGTGCTAAAACCAGGATTTGGACTTGTCACTGAGTCCAAGCTTGCTCTGTTCACCATATGATAGGACAATAAATCTGAGAGACTAGGTATTGAGACACAGAATACAACTTTGTCAAGGGAGTGTGTAATTTTCTTGGTTATGTCTCACCGCAGCAAAGATCTGAAATGGCAGACCAGTGTTACAGCTCGGTTATAGCTTAGTTTTATTCAGCAAGCAAAGGATAGTACACCTTCGAGGTGTGAGGGCAGGCAGACCCCAAAGGTGAGGCCCCAATGTCTTGGCTTCCTCCTTTCATTCATTTGTCTCCTCCCCGCTGAGCCTGCCATATGTAAATCGGGCTGACCAAGAAGGGGGTGTGTTTGTTTCACCTGAAGTTCTCACTCCAGTCTGCAGATTTTCCTTTGTCTCACTTTTGCAGGCTTTTCCCTTTCTTTATCTTTTAGCCACCACCATTTTGGACTCCTTTTTCCTATTCTAACTACCTAACAACTTTATTTGGACAGTCAGCTGACCAAGAGGATGGCAGACTAACATCTCAAAAAAACCATTTTGTTGGGGCCTGGATGCCAGGTTCTTGTATGGATCAGAGATGGGGGGTGAGGTGAGGAAACAAAATTGAAAGTGAAAGTGTTAGTTGCTCAGTCAGGTCTGACTCTTTGTGACCCCATAGACTGTAGCCCACAAGGCTCCTCTGTCTGTGGAATTTTCCAGGCAAGAGTACTGGAGTGGGTTGCTATTCCCTTCTACAGGGGATCTTCCCTACACAGGGATGGAACTTGGGTCTCCCACATTGCTGGAAGATTCTTTACTGTCTGAGCTACCAGGAAAGCTAGAGTAGAGAGACCATTTATTTCTTGCAAATACCTTCTAGAATGGCAAGTCCCAGATGGGAATATGTGAGTTTCACTTCCTTAGAGACACTAGTGTTAAAGAACCCACCTGCCAATGCAAGAGACATAAGAGACACAGGTTCAATCCCTGGGTTGGGAAGATCCCCTGGACAAAGGCATGGCAACCCACTCCAGTATTCTTGCCTGGAGAATCCCATGGACAGAAGAGCCTGGTGGGCTACAGTCTGTAGGTCACAAAGAATTTGACATGACTGAAGTGACTTAACACAGACACAGCCTTTTCGCAGGTGGTGTGAAATGGAATATCTCCTGCCGTATCAATAAGCAAGGATGCCACAGGTATGTGCAATTCCAGCCGCCCCCTCTGCCCCAAATGTGAATTTCTGAGCCACTCCGGGCAAGCAGCAGGCAAGTGGCACCACTGTCTACACAAGGAACTTAAGAATGTCACAGTCCTTCACAGGTGGGCAGGGCCAGGTTATCTTCCTGTGAGCTGAACAAAGGCGCTTTAGTTTAAGGGTGTGACTTCCCTGGTGGCTGAAATAGTAAAGCATCTGCTTACAATGTGGGAGACCTGGGTTCAATCCCTAGGCTGGGAAGATCTCCTGGAGAAGGAAATGGCAACCCACTCCAGTGTTCTTGCCTAGAAAATCCCATGGATGGAGGAGTCTGGTAGACTACAGTCCATGAGCTCACAAAGAGCTGGAAACGACTGAGCGACTTCACTTTAGTTTAAAGGTGTGGGGGTGGGCAGGATTCCCTGAGGCAGGCCTTTATGTATGCTATAATAACAAAAGCAGCAAAAAAAAAAAAAAACAAGGATTAAAGTCACAGAAACAGATCCAGTGTAGAGTCAAAATTAACCCTTCCCAGTTACAGACCGACACAGTGTAAACCTAGAACATAGAGATATTTTGATAATTCATGCTCCAGAGGGAGTAAAATTTCCTCCGTAAAAAAGTAATAACTGTATTTGTCTATATATATCTGAGTCACTTTGCTGTACACCTAAAACTAACACATATTGTAAATCAATTGTACTTTAAAGTGAGTAAAAAGTGAAGTCGCTCAGTGGTGTCCAACTCTTTGCAACCCCATGGACTGTAGTCTACCAGACCCCTCCGTCCATGGGATTTTCCAGGCAAGAATACTGGAGTGGGTTGCCATTTCCTTTTCCAGTAGATCTTCCTGACCCAGGGATTGAACCCAGGTTTCCCTCATTGTAGGCAGACGCTTTACCATCTGAGCCATCAGGGAAGTCTATACTTTAAAAGTAAATAAATAAAAACAAAATTGTCTCTCAGCAAATACAGGTCTCTTTCTGGGAGGAAATTCTACTGCTAAGAAATATGATGTTCTCTGTTTCTTCTCTAAAAGGGATTTTGCATTTTGGCTTATCTCAAATTTGTCTCCTCCACTCTGGCCTACAGGAGGAGAGATCACTGTAGATAAGAACAGCCACACACGCTCTTTCAACAGCCCAGGAGTGTAGAAGAGGCCAGAAGTGGGTGAGGTCACACAGAGGCTTTCTTTTCCTCCTCTGTTGTTCAGGTACTCTCATCTTCTCCAGATCTAGGGAGGCTTCCAGCTAGGGCAGCTGGATACCTCTCACCTCCTCAATACCCCCTTCCTCTCGCCACCCCCTTCCCCTTGAAGATGCTGATGGGAGTCATGAAATTCTGGCCAAAGCGGCTTCAGGATTCCCGGGGAGAGAGAAGACATACCATGCCTTCCCCTTCCCATGATTTCTTGTTATGTGACTTTTGCTAACCTCCTTGTGCTTCCCAGGTGATGCTAGCAATAAAAGAAACCAAGTGCCAATGCAGGAGATATGAGACATGGGTTCAATCCCTGGGTTGGGAATATCCCCTGGAGGAAGGTATGGCAACCCATCAATCCCATGGACAGAGGAGCCTGGCAGGCTATAGTCCATAGGGTCACAAAGTGAAAAGTGAAAGTGAAAGTCATTCAGTCACGTTCCACTCTTTGTGACCCTGGAATTCTCCAGGCCAGAATACTGGAGTGGGTAGCCTTTCACTTCTCCAGGGATCTTCCCAACCCAGGTCTCCTACATTCTTTACCAGCTGAGCTTCAAGGGAAGCCCAAGAATACTGGAATGGGTAGCCTATCACTTCTCCAGAGGATCTTCCTGACTCAGGCATTGAACCGGGGTCTCTTGCATTGCAGGCAGATTCTTTACCAACTGAGCTATCAGGGTCACAAAGAGTCAGAAACAACTGAAGCGACTTAGCACACGTGCATGGGCTATTTAGTGTGGAACATGGACTTGGTTGGAGTTTGAGCATCAGTGCTACAGTGGCTTTCTCTGCTGCTTTATAGAGAAAAAAGTTCTTATCAGCAAAGGCTCACTATCCCCAGCAGCCCCCCAAAGAGGGTGTGCGTGCGTGCTCAGTTGTGTCTGGATTGTAGTCTGCCAGGCTTCTCTGTCGATGGGGTTTCCTAGGCAAGATCTGGAGTGGGTTGTTATTTCCTTCTCCAAAAGATCTTCCCACCCCAGGGACAGAACTGGAGTCTGCTGAATAGGCAGGTGGATGGCTCACTACTGGGCCAGGTGCCCTGGGCAATTCCCCAACCCTTCCTCACATGACCTTGTTTTCCTGTGGACTGAGACCAAGATGCTCCTCCCACCTTCCTTGAAAGCCAAGCCCCCTTTTACCGGTATAAGGTCCATACCTCTGGAAGAGAATGATTGCAGAAACTGCCTTCTTTCTCTCAGACATCAAACCAGAGACCCAGGTAAGCAGCCCAAGAAGTGGTCTCAGGAGCTGCTTCTGCTTGAGGGTTTGAGAGGGAGGATCCAGGGTGAGACTAGCCTGAGAATTGAGCCAGGCAGACATGGGCAGGGAGCAGAGCTGGAATCAGGAATGGAGCATGCAGGCTGCAGAGAGCCCACGGGGCTGGAGAAGGAGAACCCTCCAGGTTGGGGGAGGCTTGAATCTCTCATAGGAATACTATGGTGTCCTTTATGGTGTGGTGTCAGACACAGGACAGGGACTGAGTTTCCCTTGTGCTGGAGGACAACAGGGCTCTGTCAACCGTGATCCGGATGAACACTGGTGGTTATTTTGGGGGTACAACTCGGCTTATTCAAAATCTGACTTATTCATTTAGCGGTTTATTCAAAAGGATCCCCTAATGAGCTTCATGAGTGCTGGGTACAAAAGTATTTTATTTTCCAAATATGTTTCATATCAAAAGACTTTCTGTATTCAAAGACAAGACTGCTAGGATTTTAGGTCACTTCTGGGGTCACCACCCAGAGGGGAGGATGACCCTTCTGTAGGGAGTGGGAGTCAAATGTTTGTGGGAAGAGTATATGTGAGTGTCTCTTTACCTAGAAAAGTTTTTAGGAACAGGGACATCTTTCTGGTTGATTGTAAGCCAGAGAGGCTACAGGTGGGAGCTGGGGTTCCCTTTCTCAGGCGATGCTTTTCCTCCTCTCCCCCTTTCCTCATTCAGGTTCCTCCAGGGGAGTGAGGTCATCATGGCTCTGAAGTCTCTAGTCTCGTTGCCACTGCTGGTCTTGGTGCTGCTGCTGGTGCGGGTCCAGCCTTCCCTGGGCAAGGAATCTGCAGCCGCCAAGTTTGAGCGGCAGCACATGGACCCCAGCCCGTCCTCTGCCAGCAGCTCCAACTACTGCAACCAGATGATGCAGAGCCGGAACCTGACCCAAGATCGGTGCAAGCCGGTGAACACCTTTGTGCACGAGTCCCTGGCTGATGTCCAGGCTGTGTGCTTCCAGAAAAATGTTGCCTGCAAGAATGGGCAGTCCAACTGCTACCAGAGCAACTCCGCTATGCATATCACAGACTGCCGCGAGGGTGGCAACTCCAAGTACCCCAACTGTGTCTACAAGACCACCCAGGCGCAGAAACACATCATTGTGGCTTGCGACGGAAACCCTTACGTGCCAGTCCACTTCGATGCTTCAGTGTAGGTCTCTACCTGAGACCAGAGCAGCAAGATGCGCCACTTCATCACAAAGGCATCTGCCTCTCCCCTTGTTTCCTTGCCCTGGGGGCAATAGCTGAAGTTAGTTAGGGCTCTTATCTCTGCACACCTTACTGGAAACACACACACAGGATTCCCTAGCAAGAGGGCAATAACTCAAGCTGGTTAAGTCTTCTATCCAATCCACACTTGCTCCTCTGACCTGAGTCTTGCCCCCGGTGGTTTGGGGGGTGAGGAGTGGGTTGTGAGATGGGACCTGTGTTAACCAAATCACTGCTTCTTTCAATAAACCATGCTTGCAACCACCTGAATTCCTGATGCTGTCCCCACCTTGGTATTGTTCGTGTGATTGCTCTCTTGCCAGGGATGAGAAGCGTGAATCCGGTTATCTGGGGTGAGAGGGGAATGGAATCCTTAAATGCCACCTCTTCTGACTTTTGGTTTTCACTGCCCTAAGATAATTCCTCTCCTTGTAGGTTCCTTGACACGCAGTATAAATGTGTGGGCGATTTTAGCTAAAAAGGCTCTATAGTCTGGGACACTGTCATGCTGGGTGAGCTGACAGAGGGTGAAGCTCACATACAAATATCTCTGGCACAGAAGGAAAGATCATGAGACCCAGGGGGAGACCCTGTCTGGCCTCAGGGGCAGAGGAAGACTGTATGAAATTATGACCTAAGATTCCCATTTTCCTTTTTTTGAGGGAGCTATTACTAAACCAGAAAGATGGTCCTCTCTTACTTGCAAACTTGGACTCCTTCATTCAGAAGCTAGGAAGGACCCCAGGGATCACCAAATGCGGGGAGGATGTCAAATAAGTAGATTTCAGCTTGTGAACCAAATCTAATCAGAAGTGCCTGCCTAGAATGTGTACAAAAATGCTTAAACAGTGATATGATGGAGCAGTGGTCTCTACCAAAGGCTCCACGGAGGTGAGTGTACATGTGCCACCCATTGGCCCTCCCTACCTAAAGAAAGCTCTGCCTTTTACAGGGGGAAACCTGAGTCTTAGAGAGGTTAAGTGACCTGCTCCTGGCGGCTGCTAGCTAGTGTCAGACTGAGACTAAACCCTAGGCGTCCTGGCCTCCCTGTTGTTGTTCTTTCTGCTACTGGAATCTCCTCAAGGTGAAATCCCCCAGTCTCCCTCCTTCACTGCGAGCTGTGGAGTCACAGCTTTCCCTGCCTGAGTTGCTGGGGGCTCTCACAGGTTCTCAGGGCACGTGGCTGCGAGCCTTCTCACTTCTCGACAATCCTTTATTATATCCATTGGAAAGACTAGACTCGGCTTCTGTCACCACTTAACCATTTCATATGACTTACTGTTTATACTTGCATCTGGCTCTAGACAAGGTCATAGAACTAGAGAAAGATCTACTGCCAACCAGTTTGACCAGTTCTGTCATCATGTGTATTACGTTTATAAATGGTGGAATTGATTGTGTGTTTTTAGGTAAAGTGAGTGCTTAACCCTGGGGTCTGTGGGGGATAGGGGCGGATAGCTGATTCCATGGCAGTAGGGATCTCACTCCTTACAGTGAGGATGGAGGAGGGAATAAAAGGGAAACTTTGTTTCTAGATCTGTTTTCTTTAGATAGAATTTTTCTTAAGTTCTTCTCACTATTGTTTCCAAACCAACAGTTCCTCTTTTTCCCTCCTTCTAGAGCTAAGAGAACGGTTAGTGGAGGTTCAAACACTCACTTGGAGTTTTGCTGCATCTATTCTGCACAGTCACCAGCTCTGACTACTGGTTCCCTGCAGGTTCTGGGCCAGGGGACCATGTGAGCCTCCATCTGGGGAATAAAGTGATAGAGGGTAACAGATGGTCTGGGTGCAGCCCTGGACAGCCAGGGAACCAGAAGGTGTGGGTGTGGATGGGGCGGGAAGTGCTCTAAACAGGACACCGAAATGGGAAAGATCAAGTCTTGTCCTAGAGACATCAGGCAGAGTCAAGGAGAAACAGCAGTTGTTGGGAGACAAATCAGAGATCTCTTTGCAGGGGACCTCCCTGGCAGTCATCGGTTTAGACTCCAGGCTTCCACTGCAGGAGCCTGGATTCTATCCCTGGTCTAGGAACTAAGATCCCGCATGCCACGTGGTGCGGCCAAAAAAAAAGTTTCCCTTCTCTGGGGGAGTCTTGCTACCCCGTAAATAAAGGAGTATTAACCTCTTCCAGAAGACTAACCCAGGCAGATTAATCTGAAAACTGAGGTGCTAACATGTGAAGATGGATATCTGCATCATGACAGAAATGACCATATCTAGTGATTCTTCTAAGAAGGATAGTGTTAATTGTCAGAAGATTCTTCAAACCAAACAAGCTCCAGGAATTCTGCATTCTTGGTGGACAGGTAAAATGCCTTCCAGCACACTCCTTGCTCCTGCAGTCTTACCTGTACCGACAAAACCACAGTGTCTTCTGCCTTTTGCGACAGGTTGATTTTCTCCTGCCTCTCTCTGTGGTAAATTTCCCTTCAATTCCAGCAGCCAATAGTCTTCCAGCCTGAAACAGATCAGCCATCCACACCTTAACTGAGTCCTTCAATGAACAGAGTACAGGACCATCACATCAGGTTCTTTTTTTCCAAGTGCTGTCTCATCAGCATGTTGCACTTTGAGCTTTATCTCTAACTGGAAAATGAAAGGCGGCTGCCAATCTCCACTCTTGCCTCCTCAGCCTGATTCAGCCCTCACAGAGGACGTGGGAGCGCTAAGGGGTGCTCATCTTCCTGTCTGTGATGAAAGGCGCTTCAGTACTGGTTTGGGGAATGGATCACCAATGTGAAACAGCCTTCTGTGTGCATGATTCATGATGCATGATGGAGGTCCTGGTAGAAGGTTCAGAATGAGAGTGAATTTCCTGGAGACTAGACCATGACACTCCTGGAAGCCCTTCAAAACTGCCTCCCAGGAGCTACTTCCTAGGGGACAAATCGCAAGCAGGTCTGCAAAGCATTCAGTAAATTCCCCATGCACTTTGGGTTTCTTTGTGGCTTGTAACAAGTGTAGGTAGGATAGTTTCATCTCACTTCCTCAATGCCTTTGAAATTTATTCAAGTCGTTGTGTGAATCAATGGTTCATTTCTTTTTATTGCTGTGGATGTTCCACAGCTTATTTATCCATTCACCTGTTGGACATTTGCACTGGTTCCATTCTGGGTGATTATGAAGATAGCTGCTTTGAACACCTGAGTACATATTTCTGTGTGAATTGGTGGAAGAATAAACACATAAATCAATGGAACAGCATAGACAGGCCAGAGACATACCCACACAATTACAGTCAAATGATTTTTTTTTTTAATTTATTTTTGGCTGTGCTGCGTCTTTATGGCTGCATGCAGGGGAGTGGAGGCTACTCTCTGTCTAGTTGCAATGTGAAGGCTTCTAGCTGCGGGGCTTCTCTTGTTGCAGACCACTGGCTCTAAGGTGCCCAGCCTTCAGTAGTTGCAGCACTCGGGCTCAGTACTTGCAGCTCATAGGCTATAAAGCAGGGGCTCAGTAGTTGTGGCACATAGGCAGCAGCTGGTAAAGAAACATATTGAGGAAAGAACTGATTTTTTAAAAAATATCTCTCATTATATTAATTTTTGAAGGAATTGCAAGAGTACATGGAGACTGTAAAAACAGTAAATCTGGGCACCATACTGCTGAGTTTAGGTAAAATACCAGGCTTGCCATAGAGGCTGCCCACCAATCCCGAGAGCCCAAGAAAAGAAGATGGAATTCTGGAAAAGCAGAGCTCTATTTCTTGTGAGAAAAACAAAACAAAACAGAGGTTTCTCCTACTCCCGTGTGACCCGATTTAGTCATAACCCTCCAGGTAGTCAACAGAACCCACGCAAGTGTGCCATCATTTCTGATCTTGTTTTCTCATCCTTTTTTCTCTCTAAGTCTCATCCATACTTCCTGACACCACATTATAATTCCCTTTGTCTTTCTTCTAATCTCCTGTCCCTTCTTCATCGCCTGTACTGTCCCAGCTTCAAGGCTCCCAGAGAACAGATCCACGTTGTGGGTCTAGAACTTAGAAGCTGCTGTCTGTGAAATCCCCCAAATCACTGGTAGACAACCACAAAACAGTTGTCCTAAGACTAGGGAACAGCTTAACTTTATGCATTGTATCCTCACTTCAGAAAAGTTGTCAAACTGCATTTAAAGACATAAATATAAGGATGCCTTAACGGATACAACTTAGTGACTGAACACCACCTCCACCATCACTTAGTTCCTTGGGATGCTTGTGAAACTTCTTTTTATAATCTCTTTTACAGGTTGAATTGTGTTCTCCCAAAATTTATGTTTAAAGCCCTACCTTGTTGGAAATGTGAGGTGCATTTGAAGTGAAGCTCTTTAAAGAAGTGAATGAATTAAAATGAGCCCTTAGATAGGCCCTAATCCAGTGTGACTGGTGTCCTTATAATAAGAGGAAATTTGAACACAGAGAGACACCAGGGGTGCCAGACTGCTGTGCAAGTCACAGTGGTGGGGTGGGGAGAGCAAGACAGGAGGATGAAAGCTGGCTAGAAAGGGGGCTATTTGAGGATTTTTTTTTAAGAGGGCTAAAAAAACTTTCCTTGAAGCTTGTAATCATCCAAAAGGAAGATGGAACTACTTTTATGATATACCAGGAATTTCATTAAACCTCTTATACGTATGCTTGTGTCTACATTAGGTCATTCAGGTCTTGAAGCCACTCCGAGAACTAGTAATAATCACTTTTTGTTAAACATTCCAGTTTTCTTGGTTGTTTTTTCCACTTAGCTTAAAGCTACTATTGACTGGGTCTTTTTCACATTTCTGTACCTGGTGATTTTCAGGGTGCCAGAGTGGAGTTTGGTAGATTCTATAAAGGAAAGTAAGTAGACATAATATCTTATCTTAGTGTCGACTTAAAAATTAGCCACAACCTGAAAGTAGAGAGTGTTTTACCTGGTGTGAATGTTTAGGACCCCCAGCCGGGGAGACAGCATCTCAGTAGCCCTGAGAGACTGTTTTGAGGAGGCGGGAGAGGGAGTCAGGCTATATACAAGTTTGCAACAAAGCAGACAGGCAGTGGGAACATCAAAGATTATTGGTAAGTAAGGAAAACCAGATATCAAGTTAAGGGATTTAGTGGGAAGGCTTTCCAGGTGGCGCTAGTGGTAAAGAACCTGCCTAGCAATGAAGTTAAGATGTAAGAGACCTGGGTTTGATCTCTGGGTCTGGAAGATCCCTGGAGAAGGAAATGGCAACCCACTCCAGTATTCTTGCCTGCAGAATCCCAGGGACAGAAGAGCCTAGTGGGCTGCAGTCCATAGGGTTGCACAGAGTT